GATTCCTAACAAATACTGAAACTGGCTTTGGAATGGGTAAAACAGGCTAACACGGAGCAGCTGCTGGAAAATCGCTCGGTGTCGCAGTTTGGTCTTACCTCAGAGCTTCGGCATAGAAAAGATATTCTTTCAGCTGGTCTGCATAGTGTTCCTCCTCTTCTAGGATATCATCTATTGAAGCAGCATATCTGCAACCATGTGACAAAACACAAGATCTCACGTCAGCAGAAACACAGCTGGTGGTAACATCTGTAGCACTATGAGGTAAATCTATGTCAGGGAAACGTACGCATCCATATGATGACCCGCACTTTGCAGTCCATCTCCCATCTCTTTTTCAATGGCACTCCACTCACTGCAGTGAAGACATGGATGTGCACACATAAGTATAAACAGTCTGACAACACAGTATCTTAAACATGACGTTTTCTTTCCTTTTCCTTAACACAAAACAGCACGTGAGCAGGGTTAGAGGAGTCTGTTACTCATGGATACGTCGTTAGAGCCATTCATCTCTGCAAACCGGCCCACGCTATGTGTGACAGCTCAACAAAACCACACTATCATCCAAAAACACCTCTGCCACTCGGCTTCACACAGGACAAGACAAAAACAAACATAATGTGAACATGCGTTCTACATATACTAAAGTAAACATTGCCAGTAGATTGTTTAGTTAAAACCCCAAATTGGCTCCAGTTTGAGGGTATAAGGACAGACGGTGCAGCTTGTGAAGCTAAAACTCAGGATTTGTATTAAAACCAACTGAGAGAATGAGAAATTAGGCAATGAAACTTGAACAAATTAACGATCAGTACATTTTTCTCAGCCCTGCAGACGCATAATAAACTGGTCAAACCTGAAGACTCGTCCATAGTTCCCATGAACTTTAAAAACACCGTACAGTCGGTCAGCAACCCTCTACAAGAGACACACAGAAGCATGTTTGTTAACCTTAATGTTCCTGAGGTTAAGGACGAACTTTCACTGTTATTTTTGAAGTTCAGTATAAGTGACTCATTGATTTTTAAGCAGCTGTAATCACAATGTAACTCTTTGAAAACAAGTTCACCTCATCATGTCTGAAGGCTGGATGATGATGATGTCACTGTTGTGTTTAGAACTGGCTTCTGATATTTCCAAGGGGCAAAAGATTTAGGAACACATGTGTGTGTGTGTGTGCGTGAGACAGGCAAAAGTGAGACTTACTGCTCGTGCTCGGAGCAGCTGAGATGTGTGAGACTGCAGCTCATCGCTGTAATGCTTCATCTCCATGAAGCATCTGAGTGATAAAAGAAGAGCGACACATTTACACAAGATTCATATTTTTATTTTGTTTGATTAGCTCCTTACGAAGAACAACATCGATGCAAATGACCACCAAGTGCCTAAAGGTCCACACACAAAGTGGCGTGCACTGTGGGAACTGCTAGGTTGCACAAACAGCCTAAAACGTATCTTGCAGCTGATGATCGGCCTGCACTACGTCGTGGTTTGAAGTCACTCATGGTCTTGACATGCATCACATGCACACTGCTGTCATTCTGCATTTCTATTGCTCATGCGAGAGTATGTCATACCCTGCCGTTCGCTCCCTGGACAGTGGACACTGTGCTTTGCTCAATGCAATGGGAAACAATTGTTGCGTTGCATTAGTCATAAAAATGAATGTTATTGTTTTGTATGTGAAAATCCCTCATTGGTTACTTAAAAATATCTCAGAAATCATCAAAGACTGGGCTTAAACATGCAGGAAGGTCCAAACTAGTGTGTGTCTGTGCACATCCACAGACACACACTAGTTTGTGTATCTGTGGACATTTAGGCTTCTGGCTGAGTGGTGGCAGAGTCTGTCTTATTTCTGTGTTGATGCTTTAAATTAAACGTTTTTACAAAAAGAAAATAAGTCTCTTATTAAAACAGTAACTTACTTATCTGGATTTCTCACTCTGAAGGTGGCACTGAGAGCCCGGAGCCTGGAATCAGCCTGCAAAAGGAGATCCAGGAGATATTTACACTCACTGAACACTGAGAATATCTGCACAGCTGTTAGCACGAGTTCAGGAACTGATGCTCGCAAACGTCCGGTACCTTTGCCTGAAATCCTGTCTCGTACACCGCTTCTTTCCAGCCATGCTCCTGAGACACACACACACACACACACACACACACACACACACACAGGTTAGTTACACTTCAGGAGTTCATCTATAACAGATCAGCTGAATTTGCCCAGACTGCAGCACCATGTACCTCAGTGAGGAAGTAGTAGAGGATCTTGTCATTGCAGAGGACTGGATGAGAAGCCACACGAAGAAGAAAGTTCTCGAGTCCAACCCTGCGTCGCTCCACAAAGTCAGGGTCCATGTTGTCTGCAGACAGCTTGTGCCACACAAACTCTGCCTGTACACATGAAGACCAACCATTTTCACTC